GGACTGATAAAGCCACTGTTTGGAGAAACGTTTCCTTAATAAAGATTCCCGGATGTTGCATAAGCGTCTCAATCTTAAACTTTTCAGTTTTCAAAACCAGTTATCACACACATGAGAACTTTTAATAAGTGTCTATTCGCACAAATTACAGTGATATAATATAATGTTCAGGGATACCCATCGAGAGGACAAACTTAGGAACCATCATGGAATATATGCACTATCAAAGGCCCAACAAAATCCCAAACATCAGCTTCAATTAAGCTATAATAGTACAAATATACAGCCTGCGAAATAGAGACCCGAATGAAACGCCTATGACATTATTAGATGTATGGTTCACTTGGGGCTTAGTCCAATGGAAATCAAGTGAATATACTGGATATACTGTACATAGGTGACAGTCGTCAGAGAACTTCCAGGATAATGTATGTAACGTTAGTCATACACTGTAACTCCTGATGATTTGGAACGAGACCTAAAGCAATGCAGAAGTTACTTTGTCTCAAAGTCGTCTTTATCACGAGGATTCCAACACAGATGAGTTACAGGGATGTTTTGAAGTATTTCTTCAGCCACAGAGTTGTCAGAGTGGAATAGTCTGGATAGTGAGGTCGTGGAGGCAGGTACCATACATAACTTTAAGACGAGGTATGATATAGCTCATGGAGCAGGGAGAGTGTACCTAATGGCGACCAGCGAAGAGGCGGGGCTAGGAGCTATGAATCGACCCTTGCAACCACAATCAGGCGAGTACAATTAGGGTAGTACATTTGTTCAAAATTCCGGGAAGTTTCGGTGTATCGGGAGTGCTAGGTTAAACTGCTATCATCCCTCAATAAACAACACAAGTAGTGCGTGCACCAGCACCTACCTCACCAGCACATGACCCCCACCTATCTGCTGCTCCTGATCACTCTCCTCTATATACAGACGACTGTATTGGACTGAGAAAGCTACAAGTGTGCGGAATGTTTCCTAATAAATGTCCCAAGTGTTACATACGTGTGTATCTCACAATAAGTTATATTAGTTTTAGGCTCATCTGTGTTAATTCATGTTCTATGGTAGCTTCAGAGCTCAGCTCATTAAAGTTATTTTGGCTTCGAAGCCATCAAGAAAAACAAACCTAAAATTAGTTTCAAATAAAAGAAATCGATAAATATCACAAAATCTTTCACGAGGAATAAAAAAAATATGACATACATTAGTAAATTAATATAAGCAAAAACCTTGAATAAGGCAATATTTTTTTGCGTTACAAAACAGTATATAAACAGCATTAAAAGCTAGCGACTTAGTAGTTAATTAATGGTTATAATAATTTTGGTAAGATGACCAAAATTATTATAATCAAAAAGAAGCGCTAAACCTACAATGGTCATGCAGTTCAGCAGATGACCAAAAGCTCCAGCTATGGGTCACCATAAGACTAAGAGCCGTATCAGGAAACCTACCTATCAAGAGCTCGAGAGCCACAGTGAAGGGCTCTTAATTCAAGGAAACAGACCTACCCATCCTTTCTTAGAATCCAACCAGATTACCTCCAAGTGCTGATTCCAATGGACTCAATACTTTCTCGCACAAAAAAAAAATAAAAAAATATTAAATAAAAATAATAATAACTATAATAATCTGAATTACAAGTTCACGACAAAAACTGAGGTATATTTAACTGCTGCACATGAATTGTTAAAATATTAAACGCTTCTGAAAAACCATTTACAGAATGTAGGTCAAGGCTTAAAATTTTTTTAAACCAGGGCATGGGGGGCAAGAATGCAGGACAAAGCAGGACATGAGTGGGCAAAGATGCAGAACAAAGTAAGGTATGACTGAACAAGAATGTAGAACAAAGTCATTAGTGGCAAGGTTGCACAACAAAGCAGCGCTTAGGTGGGCAAGGATGCAGAACAAGGCAAGGTATGGGTGGGCAAGGATGCAGAACAAGGCAAGGTATGGGTGGGCAAGGATGCAGAACAAGGCAAGGTATGGGTGGGCAAGGATGCAGAACAAGGCAAGGTATGGGTGGGCAAGGATGCAGAACAAGGCAAAGTATGGGTGGGCAAGGATGCAGAACAAGGCAAAGGATGGGTGGGCAAGGATGCAGAACAAGACAGGGCATGAGTGGGCATGTATTAAACAATGTCTTAAGAAAAGGTGACAAGAATTCAACAATGTGAATTATTTCTCGAGGGAAAACAATGAAAATAAAATACAAGTCAAATAGACTTGTCCAGTTCTAATGCTGTATTTATGTTGTAATCTTAGTACCAAGTAATTCCCAGTTTGGTCATAATAAACTTCACTGCATTTGTTATAGGATATTTTCTACACACTACCATCAGCATTTTTTAGGAAATTCTCAATCAATTTCTTGGTTACCTCATGAAGAAGCGACTACAGGTAAGCTACAGGACAGGTAACCAGAAGAAAGAATACCAGTCACAAGTAATTTAATTTGTCTACACACTTCCAATTATTTTTCCTTTATGGCGAGTTGGCAAAAAAGTGATGGGTATATAGTTCAGTTTCAGGTGTACTGTGTTACATAAATTAACCGCTATTAAATACATTGTGCAGTGAAGATATATACATTTATTACCTATCACAATTTTTTTTTTAAACTGCCTAACCTAATGTTCCCAAAACTAACTTAATCAACAGTTTTGCAGCAAGTGTACATTAAATACTGCTTGCTTGGGTTGAGTTTCCTTAATAAATTCAGTTATGAATTCAAAGCTTACAGAATAAATTGGCATAATATAGTGAAAGGAAGAACATACAAACAATATACCGGACAGAAAAGTCATAAGTTTATCTTCTATGTGCGGGTTATTTATGTAAAATAAGATTCTTTCCTGTTTGTTTAAAATATAACATTCCATTGCGCGACCCACGTAAAGAATTTACGAAAATGATAGTCTTAGTTTGCCTGTTATCACTTAATTAAACAAATTCGGTAAATACTTTTGTGTACAGGATAGCATTCTTGTTATTTATAACATAAAATACTATTAACTGATTTCTGTCCCGGGGAAAAAATGTGATTAATGAGAAAATATAAAAACCTACATTTAATCACAAATAAGCACCTAAAAAAAGACCGCGACACGTCTGGCAACGAAGTAGCTGGAACACATCTAGTAAACGTCCAAATCTGCACGAGATATCACCTGCTGTGCACGATAAATGGTTTTGATATTTGTGGTATATCATGAGACTCATGTCTTCTAAGTTTCCCTTTTTAAGTTAACACTACAAGTACGCGCCACTGAGTGCAAGGGCAAGACGGAAGACATTAATTACTGAAGTTTAGATATTTTTGCCAAATTCAAAAATCGCATTTAAATATGGCATTATATTCATTGTTAATGCCAAACACACGTAGTTATTAAACGTTACTTAACTAGTTATTGCCTATGATAGAGCACACAGAATCGGGTCACACTATTTTAGTTTACCTCAATCAAAATACTAATTATTCTACCAGACATTAAAATGACATTAAACATTCTGTCTGATCTTGTCAGCCCAACCATACACACACACATACTCTGTATTATCTAACACTTCATTCTTGAGAAGATTCTTTCCGGGAACACTCAATACATGTTTACCTTCCAGTAGAAGCCTGACTTACCCTCACCAGCAGCAGCAATGCGAGTCTCGTCAACACCAGCTACATAAACCTTCTCTCGCACTCTTTTCAAACTTCACACTATCATGAACTAATTCCATTACATGCCTCTGAATACTGGTTCTCTCGTTAACTCAGGCAGGAAGTAACTCAGGATCCAACAGAGAGCGCCAAACTTACCTCAACACAACCACGTTGGTTCAACGGACTGATTTCTTGGTTCTCCGCCAGGGCTGCCTCGCCGCTTTTTTTCTTAATAAATTGCTCTAATCATCAATAAAAATCGAAAAAATATTGCAACGATGTTTTAAAGTCAATTAAAACTGCATATTATGTTTCCTTTTCATGTTAATATTTCTTATATTTTTTTTTTTTTTTGTGTGTGTACACTCGTAATATTACTCAGATACACAAATAAATATATTTTGACCCCCCGCGATGTTTAAAAGATTTTATTTATTGTATATATATATTAAATATTAAATTGGTCAGTTAGCAAAAATTCATAGATTTTCCATTTATATTAATAAAAAAAATAATAATTTTGAACCAGAATAACTTTAGAATGCTTACCTAACCTCATAACAAGCGCAATTTAATTTAGCCTAATCCAACTAAATATACTTTAGATAAGTTTACAATAATTTAATTATAAACAAATACAGTGAAATTATCTTTTTCGTTAGCTTCAGAATGATTTTCGCGAAATTATTGCATACACAAATTTTTGCTTGCCTTATCTGGCAAAAACAGCGGTGCTATTTAAGCCAAAATCGCAAGTTTTACCTAATCGGCACCACACACACACACAACATATATATATATATATATATATATTATATATATATATATATATATATATATATATATAATATATACATATTAACACACCATGTTCTTATGTTCATTCACTCCATCAGTGTCTTGCCAGAGGCGCGCTTACACTACAGTTATAAAACATACTCTGTAGCAGAAAAGTGTACAATTTCAACACCAAACGTCTGTTCTTCTGTCCTAGCCCACCCCTCATAATGTAAATAATGTCAAATCTTAGTATTTGAAGCTCAGTTACCATGCTTGAAGTCAATCAAGACTCCTTTGAGTGATCTGAAGACTCGATACAAAATAGCTGAGCTACCAGAGCAGAGGCGGCATCACCTCGTTCAATGTATAAAGATTTTACCACAAACATATCGCAAATACATAAAAAAATAATAATTAAACTGGTTTATCATTCATATGAAAAAATCCAAGATACTTGCATTTTATATTCTCATTAGAAGATCATTTTTCCTTGGATGGAGGAAATATGAGATTTCGAATCTTTTAGTGAGATGTTTCATTCGTGTGGTGTTCGAATACCTTTCACAGCAGCAGTCAGTGTAGTACACGTGAACGTGGAGTGATGATGCGCGTCAGGGATAACCATTACCAGGATAGTATTAGTGTTTCATCCGCATGGAAATACGAAAACAACAAAACGGTAAGTGTGGTCTCGTTTAAAAACTGTGATAAGATGGAAATGTACGTTTTGGTGACAAAATTCTTGAGTGTTAGAGAAAAGTTGTCCGGGTCATACCTAGCTGACCGCCATTGTGCAGACTGTTATTTACCTCTGAAAACGAACATGATTTTTTTTTGTGAAGAGGATTTGTAAAGCACGAGCACGCCCCTAGTCCTAACAGTTGCTGATGTGATAGTAGTCAGTAACAAGGAGAGAATCAGACGAGACAAAAGAAATTATAGACAAAATATAAACAGACGCATCCCGTGGGAGAGGTTATTGATCCAAGGAATTGGACCTGTTCTTCCCTTCCTCGGATCGAACGTGAATGCCTCCTATTTCCCCAGGTCCTACGCTCTCCAAGCGCTCTCCCATGATGTCATAAATATGCAGAAAAACGAAGAAAATAAATTCGAGACCTACCGAATCACGATAAAAAAGTATTGCAAGTAATAGTGTAATATACGAAATATACTGCCAGGGTTTATTGATAAAACGATGGGACTGGTATTGTTGATGAGACGGTGGTACTGCTTTTATTGGTTAGACGGTGGTACTGCTTTTATTGGTTAGACGGTGGTACTGCTTTTATTGGTTAGACGGTGGTACTGCTTTTATTGGTTAGACGGTGGTGCTGCTTTTATTCGTTAGACGGTGGTACTGGTTTTATTGGTGAGACGGTGGTACTGGTTTTATTGGTGAGACGGTGGTACTGGTTTTATTGGTGAGACGGTGGTACTGGTTTTATTGGTGAGACGGTGGTACTGGTTTTATTGGTGAGACGGTGGTAGTGGTTTTATTGGTGAGACGGTGGTAGTGGTTTTATTGGTGAGACGGTGGTAGTGGTTTTATTGGTGAGACGGTGGTAGTGGTTTTATTGGTGAGACGGTGGTAGTGGTTTCATTGGTGAGACGGTGGTAGTGGTTTTATTGGCGAGACGGTGGTAGTGGTTTTATTGGCGAGACGGTGGTAGTGGTTTTATTGGCGAGACGGTGGTAGTGGTTTTATTGGCGAGACGGTGGTAGTGGTTTTATTGAGGAGACGGTGGTAGTGGTTTTATTGAGGAGACGGTGGTAGTGGTTTTATTGAGGAGACGGTGGTAGTGGTTTTATTGAGGAGACGGTGGTAGTGGTTTTATTGAGGAGACGGTGGTAGTGGTTTTATTGAGGAGACGGTGGTAGTGGTTTTATTGAGGAGACGGTGGTAGTGGTTTTATTGAGGAGACGGTGGTAGTGGTTTTATTGAGGAGACGGTGGTAGTGGTTTTATTGAGGAGACGGTGGTAGTGGTTTTATTGAGGAGACGGTGGTAGTGGTTTTATTGAGGAGACGGTGGTAGTGGTTTTATTGAGGAGACGGCGGTAGTGGTTTTATTGAGGAGACGGCGGTAGTGGTTTTATTGAGGAGACGGCGGTAGTGGTTTTATTGAGGAGACGGCGGTAGTGGTTTTATTGAGGAGACGGCGGTAGTGGTTTTATTGAGGAGACGGCGGTAGTGGTTTTATTGAGGAGACGGCGGTAGTGGTTTTATTGAGGAGACGGCGGTAGTGGTTTTATTGAGGAGACGGCGGTAGTGGTTTTATTGAGGAGACGGCGGTAGTGGTTTTATTGAGGAGACGGCGGTAGTGGTTTTATTGAGGAGACGGCGGTAGTGGTTTTATTGAGGAGACGGCGGTAGTGGTTTTATTGAGGAGACGGCGGTAGTGGTTTTATTGAGGAGACGGCGGTAGTGGTTTTATTGAGGAGACGGCGGTAGTGGTTTTATTGAGGAGACGGCGGTAGTGGTTTTATTGAGGAGACGGTGGTAGTGGTTTTATTGAGGAGACGGCGGTAGTGGTTTTATTGAGGAGACGGCGGTAGTGGTTTTATTGAGGAGACGGCGGTAGTGGTTTTATTGAGGAGACGGCGGTAGTGGTTTTATTGAGGAGACGGCGGTAGTGGTTTTATTGAGGAGACGGCGGTAGTGGTTTTATTGAGGAGACGGCGTAGTGGTTTATTGAGGAGACGGGTATGGTTTTATTGAGGAGACGGGGACTGGTTTTATTGAGGAGACGGCGGGACTGGTTTTATTGAGGAGACGGCGGGACTGGTTTTATTGAGGAGACGGCGGGACTGGTTTTATTGAGGAGACGGCGGACTGGTTTTATTGAGGAGACGGCGGATGGTTTTATTGAGGAGACGGGGTAGTGGTTTTATTGAGGAGACGGCGGTAGTGGTTTTATTGAGGAGACGGCGGTAGTGGTTTTATTGAGGAGACGGCGGTAGTGGTTTTATTGAGGAGACGGCGGTAGTGGTTATATTGAGGAGACGGCGGTAGTGGTTTTATTGAGGAGACGGCGGGACCGGTTTTATTGAGGAGACGGCGGGACCGGTTTTATTGAGGAGACGGCGGGACCGGCTTTATTGAGGAGACGGCGGGACGGCTTTATTGAGGAGACGGCGGGACCGGCTTTATTGAGGAGACGGCGGACCGGTTTATTGAGGAGACGGCGGACCGGCTTTATTGAGGAGACGGCGGGACGGCTTTATTGAGGAGACGGCGGGACCGGCTTTATTGAGGAGACGGCGGGTACGGCTTTATTGAGGAGACGGCGGGACCGGCTTTATTGAGGAGACGGCGGGACCGGCTTTATTGAGGAGACGGCGGGACCGGCTTTATTGAGGAGACGGCGGGACCGGCTTTATTGAGGAGACGGCGGGACGGCTTTATTGAGGAGACGGCGGGACGGCTTTATTGTGGGACGGCGGACCGGCTTTATTGGGGGACGGCGGGACCGGCTTTATTGGTGGGACGGCGGGACCGGCTTTATTGGTGGGACGGCGGGACCGGCTTTATTGGTGGGACGGCGGGACCGGCTTTATTGGTGGACGGCGGGACCGGCTTTATTGGTGAGACGGCGGGACCGGCTTTATTGGTGGGACGGCGGGACCGGCTTTATTGGTGGGACGGCGGGACCGGTTTTATTGGTGAGACGGTGGGACTTGCTGTATTGAGGAGGCGGCGGGACTGCCTGTATTGAGGAGACGGCGGGACTGGCTTTATTGAGGAGACGGCGGTACTGGCTTTATTGGGGAGAAGGCGGTACTGGCTTTATTGGGGAGACGGCGGTACTGGTTGTATTGAGGAGACGGCGGGACTGGCTGTATTGAGGAGACGGCGGGACTGGCTGTATTGAGGAGACGGCGGGACTGGCTGTATTGAGGAGACGGCGGGACTGGCTGTATAGAAGAGACGGCGGGACTGGCTGTATAGAAGAGACGGCGGGACTGGCTGTATAGAAGAGACGGCGGACTTTCTGTATAGAAGAGACGGCGGGACTTTCTGTATAGAAGAGACGGCGGGACTTTCTGTATAGAAGAGACGGCGGGACTGGCTGTATAGAAGAGACGGCGGGACTGGCTGTATAGAAGAGACGTCGGGACTGGCTGTATAGAAGAGACGGCGGGACTGGCTGTGTAGAAGAGACGGCGGGACTGGCTGTGTAGAAGAGACGGCGGGACTGGCTGTGTAAAGAGACGGCGGGACTGGCTGTGTAGAAGAGACGGCGGGACTGGCTGTGTAGAAGAGACGGCGGGACTGGCTGTGTAGAAGAGACGGCGGGACTGGCTGTGTAGAAGAGACGGCGGGACTGGCTGTGTAGAAGAGACGGCGGGACTGGCTGTGTAGAAGAGACGGCGGGACTGGCTTGTAGAAGAGACGGCGGGACTGGCTGTGTAGAAGAGACGGCGGGACTGGCTGTGTAAAGAGACGGCGGGACTGGCTGTGTAGAAGAGACGGCGGGACTGGCTGTGTAGAAGAGACGGGGGACTGGCTGTGTAGAAGAGACGGCGGACTGGCTGTGTAGAAGAGACGGCGGGACTGGCTGTGTAGAAGACGGGGGACTGGCTGTGTAGAAGAGACGGCGGGACGGCTTGTAGAAGAGACGGCGGGACTGGCTGTGTAGAAGAGACGGCGGGACTGGCTGTGTAGAAGAGACGGCGGGACTGGCTGTGTAGAAGAGACGGCGGGACTGGCTGTGTAGAAGAGACGGCGGGACTGGCTGTGTAGAAGAGACGGCGGGACTGGCTGTGTAGAAGAGACGGCGGGACTGGCTGTGTAGAAGAGACGGCGGACTGGCTGTGTGGAAGAGACGGCGGGACTGGCTGTTGGAAGAGACGGCGGGACTGGCTGTGTGGAAGAGACGGCGGGACTGGCTGTGTAGAAGAGACGGCGGGACTGGCTGTATAGAAGAGACGGCGGGACTGGCTGTGTAGAAGAGACGGCGGGACTGGCTGTGTAGAAGAGACGGCGGGACTGGTTTTCATAAAACATTCAATATCTCCTTCATTAAATGACCAGTAAGAATTTTCAGGGTCTCGTTTCAAACATTTTCATTTTAGGCCTAAAACTAATCCTAGCAACAATTACTGTAAATGGTTTCTCGGTTATTTTCATATTTATACCATTAGACTTCAGATATACTTAAGATGCTCCAGAGGAAATATAACCCAACAAAGTTAAGTTTGCGCTTTTGCTACTTAATTTGAAGTTGCAGTATTTAATTTTTATTTGAGCGTTATCCTGAGATAACAATCATGTAGTAAACCTTAATGTTACTAATAGTGATTAACATTATCTTTGTTGGAATCATGTTCAGTGTTATTGCGTTTCCTCAACACTAGGTCGTCTGTATACGGTGTTTGCTGAACATCCACACGGACCACATCCGTCCTTCACACCCGTATATCTTAACTGCGGACTGGAATGTGGAACACCTAGCATTTCCCAGATAACCAGAGCTATTTGTCCGTCTTCCATGTTCCATCCATGTCCATTGTTGACCGTGGTTTGTCATCTTGCTTCCTCATCTGGTTGACCTGGTGGTTGTTACTCTTCATTGTAGGTATGGAAGCTTTATTATTATTTATTATTATTATTATTATTATTATTATTATTATTATTATTATTATTATTATTGGCAGTAACTGTTCCCAACTCTTCTTTGTTTTAGGAAACTTATTACAACGCAACTCTTGTATCCAGTACAAATTAAGGAATTTTCTCTCGAGTTTCTAGTGAACTGCCTCCTAGTTTTTAGTCTTTTTCATTTTGAAATTTTACCTTTACCTGACAAAGTACTTGTGCAATCAGTTAATGCTCAAGCCTTGAAGGAATCTAGTGACAGGAATATTTCTGAAATGGAAATAATGTCTTCAAAAGAAGGCACTAAGACTCTGGGGGAGTTTAGACGTTATCTTTCAGCAAGAATCAAAACATGTCCTGTGCAGATATAATTTTGTAGCTCCATTTATTGTCATTGATGATATGCATGATTTTCATGACCGCCCCTTGTGTACTACTAAATCAATTTATGAACTGTGGGGGGCGGCTACTTCTCTACACCAAGCAACTAGTCTTCTTTGAGCATTTATACATGTTGAAGCATTCTTTGATCAAGGTGCTAATGTGTAAAAGTAGCTTCCTAATAGTTATATTAATTATGATTATGCTATCTATGATTATATAATGGGGTGGCACAATACCTTGGAGCCTATTTTACCGTGTTGACACAAAACACAAAATCTATTCCACACTAGTGCTTAGTAACGCTTGGACGACGGCGGTCCATTTATCTTTACTACGCCTTCGAATGGTTATACCTGAGGCAGGAAAGAAAACTCCAGTGGAAAGTAATAGTGAAATAAAACTAGTGATGTAATTCCTTATCTGTTCTTTAAATATGAAAATATCTAAGAAAACATTGACTTTAGAGTTAATGGTGTTAGGACCACATTTTGTTAGCCCTTTATTAAAAACATCTTTAAAATGAGATCTTAATTATATTTGTTCAGTAAATAACAGTATTATTTACCATTGATGTTACGATCTTAAGTGGATTAAGGTTAACTAATGTGGTCATTCCTGACCACCTCGCGCTTAGTTACTGGGTGGTACTTCACTCAGTCTGAATAACAATTCAAGTTTACTAGAGTTAATTTGATTTTGTTTGGTTTGGCAATGCTTATTTTAGGTAGGATTGATTTTGGTGTCATGATTTGGTTTCATTTAGTTTGGGTAGGTAAGTTAGGTTAGGATGGGTTTGATAAGGGTAGAAAGTGTGTCAATTACATTATGTAGGTCCATAGTTCCCAGACTGTATCGGTGACATTTAAGGCAGCCTAATAATAATTCAAAACCTTTCGTTGAACATAACCGATCAGAAGATGCATTTTCCTGTTATTTCATGGATTGTTCATTCCATATTTATTTTTAACGTTAAAGATACTGGCAAATTTGCACCTACAACAAAACAAAACGTTTAGTATCTTGGCTGTAAAATGTATTACTATTAAATATTGAAGTCGTTCGAAAGAGGTTTATTTAATAACAGTAAACGTAATTCAACTCTAAAATAAATTTCATTATTTTGCTAGTAAAAAATAATTAGTAAGAGTGGTAAACAGTTTCTATGCGGAGAGCGAAGTTCATATTTGTCTGAGTGAAAAAAAGACCAATTTTCCATAGAGAGTATCGCTTTGTTAAATATACTGTATTTTTGGATAGGGATGTATGTATGTTAGGATGTTCAAATATATTAAATTTGATAGTTGTCATAGCTGTTCTTTGAAGATGACTCTTCGGAGTTTCTAGAGAGAAGTTGCATAGGATAAAGGCATTTGGGAGTGTGTAAAAAGAGCAATTAAAAGTGAACAAATGAAAAGCAAAACAGAGTAATAGTAAGTGTTTAGGCAATGAAAAATTGAATTTGAGACTAGAGGGAGAGAGTATGGAGAAAATAATGGTGTTTAGATAATGTGCATCGAATATGTCGGCAGATCTGTGGAAGACGAAATGAACATTAGAATAAAAAATAGGGCGAGTGTTGAGACATCTGTAGAGGCAGAGTATAGTGAGTATAGTTTGTAAGGTGAGTTATAGGTTTTCAGTGAAGCCCATTTAGTTAATTATATAGTAACGCTTTGAATTCCCAGAAAAATCTGGGAATTTGTCTTGACAGATTCTTGGTAATTGCCTCCCTTAATTTTTTTTTTAAATTTCAAGAGCTGATTAAAACTAGAGTTTCAGGTTTTTATAAATTAAAACAAAAATTTTAAATTTTGTGTAAGAAGCTGAGCAAGTTGTAATAATGTTTCAGGCAATGTGTTGCCGGACTCACCTGGAAGAACGAAAATTGGCTCTCCACAAATCTAAAATTCATTGTGTTCTTCAATAATAAGGTTAACGTTCCACGTGTTATTTTAATTGAAACCGTTTGGTGTGTATATTTCTTTAAAAAAATTATTGTAGTTTTGCTAAATTATATAAGGAACATTGTGTATCTGTTAAGGTTAAAATATATAACACTAATTTTTCTCGTTTTGTTTACCCGTCTAGGTAAGTGTGACCCAGCTCATGGTGCTTCAGTTCACCAGCAGGATACTCGGTAAGTGTACATTTTCTTGTTTCATTTTAAATGACCATAGCTCCTGTGCTACAACCTTCTGAATAGCGGGCTACCTATGCAAACGGGGATTATTAAGTGTTTGGGTGTTGGGCTGGAGCTCGTCCTGACATCTGGTAGGCACTCTCCGCTATTATTACTGGCGTAAACTCCTGTTATCTCTGGGGAGCATGGGTGTACACAGAAATATTTTAAAATTTCGTACAAAGCATTAGCCCATGTAGGAAATGGGTTATCCAGAGTGCTAATTATGTCGAGGTACTGTAGTAATATTAGAAGACCAGATTTAACGATGTACTAACAGATTTAAGAAAATTGCATGCACGCTCAGTCACAAACTGTTGTTACGATTTAAGTTGCTGAAAATATTTATTTTGCTGCTGTTACTTAATGATGCATGCAATAGCAGTTCAATACTTGCATGTATACATACTTTTTTTTATATTTTATTTAAAAAACAGTATACATGTATGGTATACATAATTGGTTTAAACAAGAAACGTGAAGCATTATATAAGACAACAACATATATATAACTAAAACAGAGGACAACCTGAACATACCTTAAACACAAAATAACTATATAAACCAAAACCTGACACTCTTATTCATATTGTGTATGAAATTTTATATACAAAAACAATGTCATACAAACTAATGCATTGCACACTCAATGGTACTATGATTATATAAAATTACCATCAAAAACCTACATGACTCTTGATTTTTTTTTTTTTTTATAACCAAATTTACAATATAACAATTAAAATATATAAACTTCAAATGCGAACAAACTGGGTCTCCATACATAAAGACATTACACACTTGGCATCCTGAGACCAGTTGTACATTTTAACTGTTGCTAAAAACCCTAAAACTATCCCTTCCTTATTACAACATACAGATATGAAGAAAAAACATTAAATTATTTCGTGTACTAACTCGCATTCCCTACCATCAAAAAAAACAACTCACCGATCTGATGTTAAAAAACTTAAACCCTTTTTTCCACACTATGACAAATGCCATGGAAGTTAATGACTAGTCTATCTCATACTTTTGTAAGTACTTATTTCACATAATATACAAACAAAAAATAACATGCCCTATATAGATACTGAATATAGTGTTAATATCCTACAATACTAAAGATAAAAGCCATGAACCTGATGCCCCTCCCAATATTATATATGTTTTATCACATATTTTACAATATTTATGAACAAAAAGCCAAGGTTACATACATGGACTGTCAAAAGCTCAAAGTATAATTATCCTCCAACATGGCTACCCACCGTGTCTATTACCATAGAATACCCATTTAAATAAACTTCCGTACATGTCCCTTATTAACAAAAACAATTATTTCCTTTAAACTCACCGTTGATCAGTCACTTAACTTCTGTTACACTGAAAATCCTTACTGTAATAATGCCACTCACGGCTTATGATGCATATTATTAAAGAGATCTAGTTAGGACACAAGATCTCACAAGTACCTACATATGTATATAATAATTGTGTCGCATGACACAAAGGCCGTCTTAAAAAGTTGCTGATATACACACATATACATTTACATATATATACATATACATGTATACACCTACACATATACCTACATACTCATACACACACATTAACACAATAATAGAAGAGCTTTTATGACCAGTTGTTTTTGTCTTGTATCGTCAGTACAATGTACGACAAACGGCAATAATACTTTGACGTGCATTGATAAGCATAAAACTGCTGTTTTTCATACCCATCCATACCATACAACTCTCAAAAAGCCTTACCACGTTTACGTATCCTCCAATATAGTCATATCCTCGCTAAAAAGGGAAAACGGTCCCTTTTTACTTAGCACGTTAATTAGTGTCTCTACCGTAATATTTCTGTATGATTCAGGAAACAATGTTTCCCACCGTTTTCCATAAATTAGTTTATTTCTACATACTGTACGATCTATTCCCGCCGCAATTGCCCTAATTCTAATCATACCCCCTTTTTCCCTCAATCCCCAGGGAAAAAAAATATCTGACACAACGTACATAATGGCTCTCCTTACATCCTCAGACACCCCCTCGTACCTCTAATGTTAGCGCTCGCAGAATCTCTACGTTACCCCCTCCCATTAACTTGAAAACTCTTGCCACCCACAACCGTACCTCCCCCAACTCTTTACAAAAGTAAACGGCATAAAAAGCTGTTTCTGGTTCCTCACAATGTTCGCATTTTGCTTCCCTTACCAAACCCATCACACACAAAGCAACTTCGAAGCCAAAATCCCCGTTACAAACCTATAAACTAATTCCCGTACCCTCGCATTAATCTAAGCTTCTGGAACTCATACCAAATCTTACCCCAATCATACAGTGGGTATACCGATACCCCTTGCATGATTTCTGTTTTTCTACTCATCTCTACCAACCTTCCAACCCTAAGTTTGTCTACCTCTCCTACGACTAACAATAACCTGAGCATAGTCTCGCATTCCATTAATTCCTTTCCTTCCCACCACCGTCGGACATCTTCCATCACTCTCCCCACTCTCACTCCTCTTACCCCCCCCCCACCCGTACGAACCTCTGTTTAACGTACATTGCCTTTACTCTCGGCCTCAGCGCCAAAAGTCCTACTCCCCCTCTGCGTACATTCGTCATGACCACCTCTTTACTGAGCCATGCCCTTCCAAAACCCCAAACATAACGGAGCACCCTTCTCTGTATCTCTTGTATCTCCTGCCCTCGTAAAGGATACACCACAGCAACATTCCACACTTTACTATATACCAATGAATTTATTATTATTGCCCTTTGCATTGAAGTAACATATCTCGCTCTTAGGTTCCGAATCCTGTGCACAACTCTCTCTCCCATCAATTCCGAGTTCACGCGTGGAGCCTCCTGCTCATCAGCCATATAGAGAATTCCACAAATTTTCAGCTGTTCCGTTACTTCCCACCCGAACTCCAACCCCATTCTACCCCCCACCCAATCCCTTATCTCTAATAATTTCGATTTAGCTCTGTTGACTCTCGTACCCGACGACTCCCCAAAAATCTTCATTACCCTCCCAACCTTTCTCAATCCTTCTACACCATCGATCAATACTGCTGTATCGTCCACATATCCTACTACCTCTTTAAGCCCCTCCCCCTCCCTTGTAAATTTGCTTTTTCTTCAACCATTTCATAAAACGGGTGTTGCATACATGCAAACACTACCCAACCTACCATTTATTTGCATCTGTATCACCGCTCCTGCATACAGTATCTCAACCCACTTTACAATACCTTCACCAAAACCCAGACGTCTTAAATTAGCTACCAGGAACTCCCTATTCACACCGTCATATGCATTCTTCCAGTCAATTGCCAAAATTCCTCCCCCTTGCAACCCTTTAAGAATTCCCTAATTCGACTGTGTCCATCCCTCATACTACGACCCGGAATTCCCAACTGACCCTTGTGTACAATACCACCTATCACCCGCTTCATCCTATTCCCCAGTATCTTCGCAAAAATCTTAGTGCACATTAAAGATATGGCCCTGTATGTGCTCAGTGTTCTCCCCTCCTTTTTCTTGACTAGTAAGACCACACCCGTCCTCTGTCCTTCCTAACATTCCTTCCTGCAGCATACAATTCATTACCTGAACCAGACAATACTTTGTGGTCCCATTGAACTCTATAAAAATCATTGGAAATCCCATAGATTCCAGGCGCTTTTCCCATACTTCAATTGAACACCGCCTCTTTCACTTCATCCATACCAATTACACCATCCATCCCAACTACTTCCTCCCTACATTTCCCCAAGGCTTGTACCCTCCTCCCTATTCCTTTCCTCGCTACCTATCCGAACGTTACCCTTCGCCCATTTCCTTTTAAGCCAATAATCAGCATAATTACTTATTCCTTCAATTGTCACTAGCATTTGCCCCTTGTTATATCCTTCCAAATCTTCACTAACCTCTAAATGTAAAATAGTGGACTCCTGTTGCCTAATTCGAAAATTTCTCGACACTTCCCGAAGGCTTATCTCCCTGTAGTACTGCGTCCATCCCCGCCCTTACCCTTATTTCATCAAATCTTTCATTATGTATTTCCTTTAATTTATCTCTTAGCAATAATATGTCTTCGAACTGCTGTCCCCCCCCTCTCTTTCATAACACTCATTGAGCTGCTGTTCCAAATAATTATGTAAACCATACCTCCACCTCGCCTCCTCCCTTCCCTTACATTTATAAAAACCTGCTATACCAGGTTTAGCCCTATTTTACCACCATTCCAAGATATTCTTTGCCCCATCCCTTGCCCTCCACAAATGGTTCCACCATTCACCAAACTCCGCACTCACTGCCTCACTCCTCACTAGCCTTGCATTTAACTTCCAGAAACCTGAATGTATCTTTACCACACCCACCCAATCCAGCTCTGCCAAAACCGCCCTATGATCGGAAAACCCCACATACAATGTTTTCACCTCTCACACTAACTGCCTCCGATGTATAAATCCTATCTAACCTCGTTGAATAACCTCGTCAGACAAAAGTAAAATCTATTCACCAATCCCTCCTCCCCGCCACATCCCTAACCCCCACATCCTGCAACACATTGCGTAACGCCCCTAACACATCCCGCCCCCCTTGGCTCCACATCCCCCCCCCCTTATTACACAGTTCCAATCCCCACCAAATATAATGACTAGAGGTAAACCTCTTAAATGATACATCAAATGTCTCTTTAAAAATTCTCTTTTACTTTGTGTTCTCCGCTGGCATGTAAACCCCTACAAAACATACCCTAGATTCTCCCCACTCGCCATCCACTCTCACCACCCTCCCCCCTCCCTTCTTCCCACTTTATAATACGTAAGGGACCGTTTTCCTTCACAGCTACAGACACTCGCCTTTTAACCGAACAGACCCACTTACATACAATTTATATCCTTTTAATAACAATGTACAGCCTACCTTATAATTATGCTCTTGTATAAAACATACATCCACGTTATACCTCCGTAAGAACCATACCATCCAAACACGTTTCACTTCATTCCTCAATCCATTTACGCTAATAGTTACTACCTTGAATTATTTTAAAAGCGGCGGTTTACCCCTCTGCCTCGGTACAAGTCCTACTATACTGTCCTCCTGAATAAATTCTTTTTTGGCCGATGGCTTGTTGACCCCCCGTATCCCCCCTTTATCCCTAGAACTGTTCATCCTTTCATTACCCTTCCCTTCACTCCCCGTGAGGCTTACTTCCTTTTTCGAAGACTTTACTCCAGATCTTTGACCTGGAGTGAGAACATCGTCCATCTCCGACGTTCCTGCCGTTCTCTTACGTGAACTTACTTTCCCACACACTTCATCTGTCTTTTCCTCCCTATGGGCTTCTGCCACAACTGTGTGCACAGTACCATTAGTGCACAAAGCATCCCCAATCACCAGATCTTGATGCGATTTTACTGGTACATGGTTACTCTTTGCAACCTCCATACTACCCTCAACTTCATTCAGAAAGAAGCTTAGAACCTCCTCCAGTAAGCCATCCTGTTGGCTTGCACACTCATCAATCTCGTTGTCGATGTTGCCTTCCCCGTTTCACCTGGTAATGTTACACATCCGTCCATTTCCACCTCTGCCCTATCAACTTCTTCACTCCAACGGCAAGGTGTCTTGGTTGGTTGTACTCCTGTCTCCGACGTATCCTTCCCATTCCGCTGATGTAT